ACCGATTTTCAAGAAACTTAACACTCTTCATTCTAGAGCCAATTCATTACACTGTGCCAAATTTCGTGCAAATCGAAAGATATATAGGGTCTTTGGTGTACCATTTACCTAAAAACGGGCGGAACTGTACATAGAGGTATATCTAAATCTGAACCGATTTTCAAGAAACTTAACACACATCATTCTAGACCTAATTCATTACGCTGTGCCAAATTTCGTGCAAATCGAAATATATATAGGCACTTTGGTGGACCATTTACATTAAATCGGACGAAAATATTTCCCAATTTCAATAGGGTACGTCCTTGGGCCAAATGAGTGACCTATGCCAAATTTGATCCAAATCGGATAATAAATGCAACCTGTACTTTGTTCACAATACATGGACGGACGGTCGGACATGCGTAAATCGACTCAGAAAGTGATTCTATGCATATTCTCAAAAGGAACGATGGGTCTATCTCGATTCCTTTTGCCTGTTACAAACATATGCACAAAGACATAATACCCTGTACAACAGTGTGGTGAAGGGTATAAAAATCCACGCTTTTGGCTGGACCTTTAAAAATAATTTTTAAAAAAGCACTCCCTAATTTTGAGTAAATTTTTAAATTTCTTTCAATTGCTTTTTAGCTTCCGTATAATGCTGTTGAGATCATACTCGAAGTTATTTAAAGCACCTTGTTATTGAAAGATAAATAAAAAATTATAATAATCTCAAAAGCAAGTGGCATTTTATCGAATTATGAAAAGGTCAAGTGAACCACTGTACCGAAGTGCTGAACAACTACCGGTCATTGAAATGATTAGAGTTGCGCTTAGAAGGTAGCTAAAGCCGTTAAGTATGGCTTCAATTTCAATACTCGAATTGAAAAAAAAAACGAAAAATAAAACAATATTGTTGCTGCTGTCGCTTATGTTGTTGTGGTGGCGTCAATTGTTGCTGCCACCGCTGCTGCTGCGGTTGCTGCTGTTATTGTCGCCGCCGCCGCCATCACACTCAATCTCTGTGCAATTTTCAAATAGAGTTTGCTGTTGTGTCTTTCTTCTAGCTGTTGTTGTTGTTCGGTTTTATTGTTGTGGAGGTTTCTTCTTGTTTCTGCTACGTAGGTATGTCTATCTGGCCGTCCGTCCGTCTGTTGGTTTCTTGTGTTTTCTATTTCTACATACCAGCCGATTATTTTGCAGTGCTTCTTTTTTTCGTTTTTAGAAGTCAGAATGTTTTCAGCTATCAATCGGTAAAGTTCGCAAAAGTCTTCTTAAAGATCAACGTGACGCGTCTATTGTGTTCTTGTGTGTAAAAATAATTAATTTCAAGCAAAAGAGAACAAAACTAACAATACAACAACAAAAAAGGAAACTCCTCAAATTCTGAAATTGTGCACACATACCTACGCACACCTACACACCTTAAGCGAAACACTCAAACTTGCAGCTTCAATAGTCTGCAATGAAAACCTACGCCAACCTCAAGTAGTCCATAGGCGAAAAGAAACAAAGAAACGCAAATCCGTAACTAGAACGGGCACACGAACAATCAACAAACTCCAAAAACTCACACCTTTCGAATTTCTTCTCTGAAAACACTTTCGGAAACAAAGAAATCCATTAAAAAGTGGCTACCGATTAAATTTCAGCGCTGTGTGCCATGATACCAATCAACAAGCCGCGGGCCATCACAGTGAAGGGATTATAAACCTAAAAAATAAGACAGCTTGAAGTGGTGTGAACTCCGGCTCAAATCACGTTGAAGTGGAGCGAAGTGTTGTATTACAACCAACCAACCAAAACTTACAAATCATTAAAACAACAATTAAACAAAATTAAAAGTTTCCTTTGCCTCCCCCCACCAAACAAAGCGGCAACAGATCTGCGACTGCGTACAAGAACTCACATTTGGCCAAGATCAATGTGGCATTTAACTTTGAAGTGAACTCCATGACTTCGTTGTTCTCATCGTCGTCGTCATCATCATCATCACTGCCTTTTTTATGTTTTAACGAATTGCGGTCAATTATAAACGTTTGTACTTGTCTCACCTCTGTGGCATTGTAGCCGACCCCCCAACTTGGCCCACGAATCACACAGGCCATAGATCATTGCCGGCGTGTACCTGATTTATGTTTTGTTGTTTTTTTTTTCTTCTCAACATCAAGATGAGTTTCAGTAATGACGTATGTATTTGTAGATTCTTATGTTTTATATGTTCTTTAAGATTTTTTTTAATTTGAAATTATTTACACTCAAAGAAAAATGTTAGTAAACATTTTTATACCCTACACAACTATGTTGTCAGGGTATTATAGCTTTGTGCAGCCCCAAAAGTTTGTAACGACGCGAAATATTGGTCTTAGACCCATCATTAAGTATACCGATCGTCATATCTCGACTAGCTGAGTCGATCTGGTCATGGGAGTCCGTCCGTCCATCCGTCCGCTTGTCCATTATAATTTGTAAACACGATACAGGCCACAGTTATGGATCAATCTTCACGAAATTTTGCATGTAGAATGGGTCCTTGCCAATGAAGACCCCTATTGTTTTTGGTAAGGATCGGTTAATATTTAGGGATGAAATGGACCAAAAACTTTATTTTTGTCTGATTTTCTGGTCGCTCAAGAGGCCGCAATTATGGCCTAAACATGGCGAATTTTTACATGGAGGAGAGGATCGGGTCAATGAATAAGCCTGCCTGTTTTAATAAAGATCGGTCAATATTTAGCGGGTTAAATGGACCCTGACTTTTGTGTGAAAAATTAAAAAAAATTTATTCTATGGCGAATATATTTACTCCTGAAGGACATAGGTCCGATCCAAAATGGGTGTTTGGCCTTTAAATTGATACAATTATATGGTCGTATGTATTCAGTTGTGGGAGTTACACTTAAATATTTACGGGTGCTTACGTACTGAGGTATTATTTAGTTACCCATTACCACACTAGAAGCCGGAAATATAACGCTGATCGCTTTGAAATGGTTAAGGACAACGCCTACAATTTTCGGTTATGATCAGAGAATAATTTGTGGTGAAGGGTAATGTGGTGAAGGGTAGAAGTGTTGTGCATATGTTTGTAACAGGCAAAAGGAATCGAGAAAACACATGGTTCCTTTTGAGAATACGCATAGAATCACTTTCTGAGTCGATTTTTGCATGTCTGTCTGTCCTTCCGTCCATGTATTTTTGTTAACAAAGTACAGGTCCCATTTTTGATCCGATTTGGATGAAATTTGGCACAGTTCACTTATTTGGCCCAGGGACGAACCCAATTGAAATTAAAGAAAATCGGTTCAGATTTAGGTATGGCTCCCATATATATTTTCGTCCGATTTAATGTAAGTGGTGCACCAAAGTCCCTATGTCGATTTCCACGAAATTTGACACAGCGTAATGAATTAGGTCTAGAATGATGTGTGTCAAGTTTCCTGAAAATCGGTTCAGATTTAGGTATAGCTCCCATATATATTTTCGTTCGATTTAAAGTAAATGGTGCACCAAAGTCCCTACATATCTTTCGATTTGCACGAAATTTGGCACAGCGTAATGAATTAGGTATAGAATGATGTGAGTTAAGATTTATGAAAATCGGTTCAGATTTAGATATAGCTCACATATATATTTTCGTCCGATTTAATGTAAATGGTCCACCAAAGTCCCTATATGTCTTTCGAATGATGTGTGTCAAGTTTCCTGAAAATCGGTCCAGATTTAGATATAGCTCCCATATATATTTTCGTCCGATTTAAGGTAAATGGTGCGTCAAAGTCCCTATATATATTTCGATTTGCACGAAATTTGGCATAGCGTACTTAATTAAGTCTAGAATAGTGCAACGTAAGTTTCGTGAAAATCGGTTCAGATTTAGATATAGCTCCCATATATATTTTCGTCCGATTTAAGGTAAATGGTGTACCAAAGTCCCTATATATCTTTCGATTTGCACGAAATTTGGCACAGCGTAATGAATTGGGTCTAGAATGATGTGTGTTAAGTTTCCTGAAAATCGGTCCAGATTTAGATATAGCTCCCATATATATTTTGGACCGATTTTATGTAAATGGTGTACCAAAGTCCCTATATATCTTTCGATTTGCATGAAATTTGGCATAGCATAATGAATTAGGTCTAGACTGATGTGTGTCAAGTTTCCTGAAGATCGGTCCAGATTTAGATATAGCTCCCATATATATTTTCGTCCGATTTAAGGTAAATGGTGCGTCAAAGTCCCTATATATCTTTCGATTTGCACGAAATTTGGCATAGCGTACTTAATTAAGTCTAGAATAGTGCAACGTAAGTTTCGTGAAAATCGGTTTGGATTTACATATAGCTCCTATATAAATAATCGTCCGATTTAATGTAAATGGTGTACCAAAGTCCCTATACATATTTCGAGTTGCACAAAATTTGGCATAGTGTTCTGAAATGAGTATGGAGTGATGTGTGTACAGTTTCCTGAAAATCGGTTAAGATTTATGTATAGCTCCTATATATTTCTTCTTCCGATTTTATGTAAATTGTGCACTAAAGACCAATAGTTTTTCCGATTGCCACACCATTTTGTACAATAAACTCCCATTGTAAGAAGCAACCCTGTATCTGAACAAATGAAAAATTTTATATAGGTTGCAGAATTCGACGTCTGTTAGCATTCATCTGTTGAATATACCCAAAGTGGTGAAGGGTATCATATAGTCGGCCCTGTCCGACTTTACTACTTTCCTTACTGGTATTTTTATTTTATTTAGGCCCAGACTAATGTCTGCGATGTCCTGTCCGACTATACTGCTTCGCTCACTGGTTTACATTAATTTTGTAATTTAATTATATTGTAAATTTTTTAGTTGATATCTATTTTACGTATAATTGTTCTTCCTATTCCCTATTCTTCCGCCAACAATATTGTAACACTGACACATCATTATCCCCTTCCCCTTATTTTTGCTTCATTCCATGTTTTTTATATTTCTCTTGATTTGTTTCCTTTTTGTTTCCAGATAATTATTACAGCCATGGATCGGTTTGTTTGGTTTGTTTTATTGGTGGTCTTCTCGCATCTGGTCACAGAATTCACACGTGTCACTGGTTATTCGCGGGGCCAACGCCATGATGCGGTCATGGTAAACGACGTAAGTAAGTAAATGTTGTGTCATTGTCGTTATTCTAGTTGTAGTTGTAGATTTTTTGTTCTATGCGATTGGATTGGATTTTGTTGGGTTTGGGCGGTTGCAGTGCAACGCGATGCATGCTGTTGCTGCTGCTGCTGCCGCAGTTTTGTTATTTGATTTTGTTGTTTAACGTTCTGGTTTTCGGTTACATTGATGTGGTTGCACGAATGTCAGACGTACTGACTGGTCGACTGGTTGGCTGGGGTCTAGTTGGATGCCATTCCACTTCTAGCTCAGTCATTGCGGCACTCAGTCTTTCACTCAGTCACTCACAGACCCGGTTGGTCATTTAACAAATCGAACTGCAAGACAAATATCGATTTGTCCATGAATGCTGGCTGGAGTTGTGCAAATATTTGTCCATTGCACTTGAAACGAAGATGAATGGTCGACAATGGTGTTGGTATTGGAATCGATGCCATTTGGCGTTACTAAACAAATACAGACATTTATGATTTATGGTATGATCAGTCAATATTTCTTTTAATATTTTTTACAAATATTTCTCAAAGTGGGACCTTTGAAAGGCGTGCATTTTTAAAAAAAAATTTTTTAGAGGTCCCACCAAAGGCGTGGAGTTTTTAAACATTTTGGATTTTTTTAAAAAATATTGTTTAGAGGTCCCACCAAAGGCATGGAGTTTTTAAATATTTTCTCAAAGGTCCCACCACAGCCGTGGAGTTTTTAAATATTTTCTCAAAGGTCCCACCATATGCGGGGATTTTTTAAAAAATATTGTTTTAGAGGTCCCACCACAGCCGTGGAGTTTTTAAACATTTTCTCAAAGGTCCCACCATGGGCGTGGATTTTTTTAAAAATATTTTTTTAGAATTTTTTTAAAAATATTTGTTTAGAGGTCCCACCAAAGGTGTGGATTTTTTAAAAATATTTTTTTTGAGGTCCCACCAAAGGCGTGGATTTTTTAAAAATATTTTTTAGAGGTCTCACCAAAGGCGTGGATTTTTTTTAAAATATTTTTTTAGAGGTCCCACCATAGGCGTGGATTTTTTTAAAAATATTTTTTAGAGGTCCCACCAAAGGCGTGGAGTTTTTAAAATGTTCTCAAAGGTCCCACAATAGGCGTGAATTTTTTTAAAAATATTTGTATAGCGATCCCACCAAAGGTGGAGTTTTTAAACATTTTCTCAAAGGTCCCACCATAGGCGTGGATTTTTCTAAAAATATTTTTTTAGAGGTCCCACTAAAGGCGTGGATTTTTTTAAAAATATTTTTTTAGAGATCCCACCAAATGATTTTTTAAAAATATCTTTTAGAGGTCCCACCAAAGGCGTGGAGTTTTTAAAAATTTTCTCAAGGGTCCCACCAAAGGCGTGGATTTTTTAAAAATATTTTTTTAGAGATCCCACCAAAGGATTTTTTTAAAAATATTTTTTAGAGGTCCCACCAAAGGATTTTTTTTTTTAAATATTTTTTTAGAGGTCCCACCAAAGGCGTGGATTTTTTAAAAAATATTTTTTTAGAGGTCCCACCAAAGGCGTGGATTTTTTTAAAAATATTTTTTTAGAGGTCCCACCAAAGGCGTGGAGTTTTTAAACATTTTCTCAAAGGTCCCACCATAGGCGTGGATTTTTTAAAAATATTTTTTTAGAGGTCCCACCAAAGGCGTGGAGTTTTTAAAAACATTTTTCAAAGATCCCACCAAAGGCGTGGATTTTTTTAAAAAAATATTTTTTAAAGGCCCAACCACTAGCGTGGATTTTTAATTTAAAACCTTTTTTATATGCCCCACGGGAAATTTTATTACTGTAGCCCAAAGCCCTCAACATTTGTTGGCACATTGTCAGAATTTCCAAAAATATCCATTTCTCTAATTTCATGGACAATTGACAGACAGGCACTAATGGTGATGTTTGGCATGTCAGTACAGCAATTCAAAGTTTAGTTTGAAAATGAGAAACAATAAAAATAAATTAATTTAAACACCAATCAGCATTCCTCTTAGCACTGGTAACCGCATCAAGCACCCAACAGCATCCTCGTCATCATCATCGCTATCGCTTTCGCCGCCAGTAGCCCAACAGTAGTTGTCGATGACCACAAATTGAGCGGTTACATCAATTGAATTTGTAATTATATTGTGTTCGAATAATTATGTGATTGTTATTGGTCTTTTTGCACTCTCTTCCTCACTCCCTGCCACTCTCCCCCTCTCTTTCTCTCTCTCCCACTTTTTGCTAACGAATTGTTGTTGAACAATTTCTTTTTTTTTTGTAATTGCAGTCATCGTCAACACAACCGATAAGAGTACAGAATCTCCTCCAGTATCCTGGTCAGGAATATGGACAGTACGCGCCGCGAAACCCATCGTATTACAACAACGCCAACAATCAATACAACAATTACGGCAATAATGTCAATGGTGCTAATGGCAGTGGCGGCAATGGCGGTGGCAATAACAACAGCAACAACAACAACAATTTCTTTAGTAATATGTTTAGTGGCTTATTTAATGCAAACGCAAATGGCAACAACAACAACAACAATGATAAGGATAGCAACAACAACAATAATGGATATGTGAACAACAACAATGACAACTATGGTAGTGGATATCCTGCCAACAATGCATACATTGGTGCTGGACCCATCCAGGAAGGTGTCCGAACTGTGGGAGGGATTATCAGGCCCATTATTGATAGCATTTTCGATGTAAGTATGATATTCAAAGGGGGATTTTTTTTAAATATTTTTTCAAGGGTTCAACAAAGGCGTGGATTAAGGCGAGTTTTTATACCCTTCACCACTCTGTGTACAGGGTATTATTTCTTTGTGCATATGTGTGTAACAGGCAAAAAGAAATGAGGTAGACCCATAGTTACCTTTGAGAATATGCATAGAATCACTTTCTGAATCGATTTATGCATGTCTGTCCGTCCGTCTGTCCGTCTGTTGGTGTTAAATTGTAAAGAAATTGCAGGTCGCATTTATAATCCGAATTGGATGAAATATGGCACAGCTCATTTATTTGGCCACGGACGAACCCTATTGAAATTGGGAAAATCGGTTCAGATTTAGATATAGCTCCCATATATATTTTCGTCCGATTTAAGGTAAATGGGGCACCAAAGTCCCTCTATATCTTTCGATTTGCACGAAATTTTGCACAGAGTACTGAAAAATTAGGTCCAGAATTTTCGTCCCTATATATCTTTCAATTTCCACGAAATTTGGCATAACGTGATTTGTGCCAAGTTTCGAGAAAATCATTTCAGATTCAGATATACCTCCCATATATATTTTCGTCCGATTTAATGTAAATCGTGCACCAAAGTCCTTATAAATCTTTCGATTTGCACGAAATTTGGCATAGCGTACCGAATTAAGTCTAGAACCAGATTTAGATATAGATCCCATATATATTTTCGTCCGATTTTAGGTACGTAGTGCACCAAAGTCCCTATATATCTTTCGATTTGCACGAAATTTGGCATGACGTACTGAATTGAGCCTAGAGTGATGTCTGCCAAGTTTCGTGAAAATCGGTCCACATTTAGATATAGCTCCCATAAATAGTTACGTCCGATTTAATGTAAATGGTGCACCAAAGTCCCTATATATCATTCGATTTGCACGAAATTTGGCATAGTGTATTGAATTCAGCCTGGAATGATGTCTGCCAAGTTTCGTGAAAATCAGTCCAGATTTAGATATAGCTCCCATAAATTTTTTCGTCCGATTTTATGTAAATGGTGCACCAAAGACACTATATATCTTTCGATTTGTACGAAATTTGCTATAGGGTACTGAATTTAGTCTAGGATGATGTGTGCTGAGTTTCGTGAAAATCGGTTGTGATTTAGATATAGCTCCCTTTTATATTATCGATTGATTTTAAGTAATTGACGCACCAAGGAACCAATATATACAGGGTTGCCCATATTCGACGGACCCATGTTTTTTTTTAATGAAAGAAAAAAATAAAATTTGGCGGTTGACAATGTTAATCATTTAATTTGTTCCAAGTAGATTTGTTTACATCAATTTTTCAATATGATATCTCTCAAATGGCCGCCTCTGGCGTTAATGACGTAGTGTGCCCTTTTTGCTGCATTTTCCATCGTTTTTGCCAACTTTTCGACCGGAATAGCGGCTATTTCTTCATGAATGTTGTCCTTGAGCTCTTCTACGATCCTTGACTTGTTAACGTAAACATTTGACTTCAAATATCCCCACAAGAAGAAGTCAGGCGGCGTCAAATCGGGCGAACGCGGTGGCCAGTCCAAATCACCACTTTTCGACATCAAACGGCCCGGAAACAAATTCTTCAGAAAATCGATTGTTATGCGACTTGTGTGCGGTGGAACGCCGTCTTGTTGAAACCAGAACTGCCTCATATGCTTTCGACGAATAATTGGCATCACAAAATTGGTCATCATGTCGCGATAACGCTCCTGATTGATGGCAACAGCATGGCCATTTTCATATTGGAAGAAAAACGGCCCAAAGACCGTTTTCGCACTAACGCCGCACCAAACTGTGACTTTTTCGTCATGAAGAGGTACTTCTTGAATCTCCTGAGGATTTTCAGTGGCGTAAAAACGGCAATTTTACTTATTTACGGTCCCATTCAATGTGAAATGGGCTTCATCGGACATGATAATTTTGTTCCAAAATTGCTCGTCATCTTCGGCCATTTAGATGACTCTTTGGGCCCATTCCAATCGACGAGGCTTGTCCGCAGGCAACATTCTTTGCGTCAATTGAATTTTGTACGGGAACAAATGGAAATCAATGCGAATAATCCGTTGTAAAGTGGACCGAGCCATGCCCAACTGCTGAGAACGGCGTTTTTGGGATGTGCTTGGGGACCTCTCAACACTGGCTCCTACGGCAGCGATATTCTCGGCCGATCGCCTTGGTCGACTTTTATATGGCCTCTTCGGATTAGAAAGAGCCTTACCAGTCGAAAAGTTTTCGTATAAACGCTTAATGGTGTTCTTAGAAGGCGCACTTCTCACATTTTTTAATGTTTTAAAAACACGTTGAGTTTTCACAATTAACGTCTTCTGTTGAATGTAAATTTCAACTATTTTAGAGCGCTCGCGTGGCGTGTGTTGGTTCATGGTAAAAATTTGCTTGGACTGAAGCTTCAAACGCGGTATGTCATTAAGCGATGTGACATCTCTGTCAAAAGTTATGGCGTTGCCAGATGGGTCCGTCGAATATGGGCAACCCTGTAGCTTATAGGAACAAAACGTACTAAAATTAGTGTAACCTAACCAGTGACAAGTTTCGTTGGAATCGGTCCAGATATAGATATAGCTTCTATATATATTTTCGTCCGATTTTAAATAAATGGTGCATTAAACTCCTCATGTTTGTCAGATTGACATGAAATTCGGCACAACGTACAAAATTTAACATAGAATAACATAGTTGTGTTTTCTTAGAAGTACAGACTTTTTAATATTTTCTTTAATTTCATTTAAGTTTTCCACTTCTTTACGCATTTCCCTTAGTTTATGATTATCTCTATTATTTCTTCTCAAACGTAATTGTTAAAATAATCAATATTATTAAACAATTAGCTAATTCAATTTTATTAATATTATATTATTATTTCCAATGGCATGACCATTTTAATAATTTTCAATACCCTCCATTGCTACTAGCTTCTTCTTCCTCTTCCAAGTCTCCTTCCACATTTTTGTGGGGGTTTTTTTATTGGAGTTTCTCGAATTTTTAATTAAAAATCATAAAGACATTCGAAAGCCATTTTAATCGTTGCTGTTTTCTTTTAATTTTCAATTTCTTCTTTTTTTTGCTTCCTTCTTCTTTGGCAGATACCCATTTCAACGCTACGTGCAGTCAATAATTTGGTTGGACGCTTAACAGGCAGTTATCAAATCAAATTGCCATTCCAACAACAGCAGCAGCAGCAACAACAGAATCAGCAGCAGTTCCCAACACAGCAACAACAAGTTCCTCAACAGCAATACTCCCCCTCGCTGCCATCTCTGCCTTCGTTTCCATTTTTCGGAATGCCCACCCCCACGCTGACACCCTCCACGTATTATGGCGGACAAAAATCGGCAAATGTCGAACCGAAAAGTGAAATTGAGGTACTGAAGAGAATTCGACAAATCGGTAGCAACAGCAATAGTGGAAACCAACAACAGCAGCAGCATCAGCTGAGTCCAGCAAGCCTTTAGAAGAAGAAAACACCCAAAAATGTGGTTAGTTAGGCAACACCTGCTTAGCTAGAAAATTTGTTTATTCACGAAGTAGAATAAAAAGACTGAGGATATTTTTTTCGCAAACGCGGGAAACAGCTGTGTAATTCCATGGATCCCATCCACCTACCTACCTAACTACCTTCCTGCCAGTTACCATTTACTATTCTGCTCGCCCAACGCAGAAAAAGTGAGGTGATACGAAGTATTTGTTATCATTAGAGTTTAATTAAATTGTATTTTAATTGATTCTTAGTTTTTTTCTTTCTCCACCCACCCCCTCCCTTGTCCTCCTCAACTATTCTTTGTTATCGTTATTTATTTTATATAGATTTTTATTCTCACACCTCTATCCCTTCCGCAAAGAATTCCTAGAATATTAATTTCCAATGCAAGGCCAACGAGTGTTGAAGGCAGGATTCACCTGATTCAGACGAAATGATAAAAATGAAAATTAGTCGGGATCCAGGCAAAAAATTATATATGTGTGTGTGTATGTGAGTATTGATGTGAAAAAATTCAAAATATTTTTAAAGTTCCATCCAAAGGCGTGAGTTGCTCAAAATATTGTTTAAAAGTCTAGAAACAGGTGTGTATTGAAATATTAAAAATATTTTTAAAGGTCCTACCTTAGGCGTGAATTTTTATACCCTACACAACTATGTCGGTTTAGCACCTTTGTCAAAGACAGTCCATCTCGACTTCACGATGAAGAGCATGAGGATAGATTCTCTCGAATTTCCTCACATATATCATCTGGGCGTCTCGCCCCATGAATTTGCAGAGATACGAAACAGCACGTTTGTAATGCTTCGCATCAGCCACTTCTCGGGCCTTCCCAAACGTTGAGCCACTGTCCTTTCCTGGGACATTAACAGATTCCCCATCGTCGGACATCAACTCTGTTGCAGATTGACTCTGAAGTTTTTCGGCGGTTGCCAACACAGGACCTGTTGAAGTCAGACTGGAGGTCGGTTGGACAATAGGGTGCACACTTCCTTCCATCATCAGTTAGGGTAAGATTTAATAGCAGTTCCTACGGAAGCGTGTCCCCACATTGCTCTTCCGGTACCAGTCTGTCTAACTGGTCGAAGAGTTCCTTGCTTTGCTCCTCTAGACTATCGCGGATAGCGTGTAGAGTCCCATGTAGGTCGTCCCTTCCCAGAACTACAGTCCTGTCAGCCAAAGACTGATTTTCATCAGTCTTGATATGCTCATTTGCCCAAGGAATAGCCGGTTCGTCAACGTTTTGGTACAGCTTGTGTAACAGGTACATCTTGTGTAGGTGCCAAGGCATCCACACCTAGAACAGCCGGATCACAATCGCTTGATCTCGACGACACGTGGCTTGTGACCTCACCAACGATTGCCGCCGGTACTGGGTTATTAACTCCCTGCACCGTAACTTTATTCTTTTTACTTCTTTTACCCATCGTAGTTAATTTATGTAAAGGCACTACCCCAATCCATTTTGCTCTACGGGGGATCCGAAGATCCCCAAGGTTTTCACGAAGTGAAGAGAAAAAAATGATCTAGGAGACCTAGGTCAGTTTCTCTCTGCACATCATGGATACCCCCTTCCCATCCGCCACCCGGAAAGACGCGCCTAGTAGGAGATTGGCAACTCCCCACCTTTATGTATACCGATCGTTATATCTCGACTATCTGAGCTGATCTTGACATGTGTGTCCGTCCGTCTGTCCATTATAATTTGTAAACACGATACTTAGGGGATGTGTTTATAGTATATCCAAGAGGAGTGATTGGCCTTTAAATTGATACCAATTATATAGTCGTATGTACTCGGAAGTAGGGGTTACACTTAAATATTTACAAATGCTTACGTATTCAGATATTATTTAGTAACCCTTTACCACACTGGAGGGCGGAAATATAGCGATGATTGCTTTGAAATGTTCCATGAGGTTCCAGTTATGGTCAAGTACAACGCTTATAATTTTCGGTGATGATCAGATAAAAATTAGGGATGAAGTGGACCGAAAACTTATTTTTTGTGTTTTTTTGATTCAATCTTTTGGCTACAATTATAAGCCGAACATCACAACAATAGGCCACAATTATAAGCCGAACATCACAACCCAACTCACGGTGAAGGGAATCCGGAGAAGTAATTAGAAGGACTGTACTGAAAATTAGTAGCATTTGTTAACCTCTAGTCGGTCAAGAGGGTGCAACTATCACGAAATATTACCCAGACTCGGAATAAAAATCTGCAGAAAGATAGAGTTCTGTGGTAGTTGTGTAGGGTATCAGATGTTCGGCCGCGTTCGGCTATACTGCTCCGCTCACTGGTTTACAAATATTTTTCCGTGTTCCCACCATAGGCGTGAATTTTTTTAAAAATGTTTTTCATGGTCCCACCATAGGCGTGGATTTCCAATCTCCCATAATATTTTTCAAGGTCTCATATGTACCTTTTTCATGTATTTCATACCTTTTTCCCATATCGCACATTTAATTTGCCTTAACCAAAGAATTCCTGCAACAAAAAGTAATTAAATCAAATTAGCATACAAATACATTCACATACACACACACACCCAGCGACTCTCTGAGAGTGAACAAAAAATCCCTTATGTACTCCATGTGGTATGAGTAATTTAAATAAACAAATGCCATTTTAATTACTCATACAATCCATTGTACAACATAGCCAGCAAATAGCTCGCCGGGTAGTATGAGCTATATAAATAAAGCATTAATTATTCGCAACAATTCCATGGCAATGAATGTAGTAAAGCCTTGTAATTGCAGAGATGAAGAAAAACATGTAATGAAATTAAAAAATTTAAAGAAAAAATAATAAATTCAGGTGAATTGCCATTTGTTTTGGAAAGGGTTTATTCTTGGGATTCTTTGAAGGAAGGTGGGGTTTTTTTATTTTTAATATTTATATTAATTTATGTTTTTATTATTATTTTCTTATTAATTTATTTATTTGCTTGTGTATGAGACGGCATCACTAACCATGGAAAGGAAAGATGGAATCTGGGTTTGAAATTCGGTCTTAGTAAAATCGAAAATGAATTTTTCGAAAACAAAATTGTTCAACATTAGGGTGTAGTGGTGTAGTATCTCATCACACTTTTATTTATTTATTATTTATAAATTTTACTCGTATTAATCCTTTTGTCATTCTAAGTATCCTTTTCTATTTTATGCCTCTCACTTTCTCTTTTCCCTCCTTGTTTTTCCTCCTTAAGCTTTAATTAACAATAGAAATAATTTTCTCTATATGTGGCTTCTTCATTATATGTATGTATGTATTTATGTATGTCCTTGGCATTGTGTTTTTAATATTCTATAATTTGATTATTATTATTGTTGTAGCTATTATGTCCTTGCTGTTGTTGTATTAATAGCCTTAAGTAATTAGCATAGATTTTACACTCTGTGTGTTGTCAAAAAGGAAAAAAAATCTTATCCTTATCACAAAAATAATTAAATAATTTATTTGTCGACCAGACAAGTTTTTCCAAAAAAGGCTTCAACAGAGGCGTGGATTTTTTAAAGATTATTTTTTCAAGGCTTATCCAAGGCGTGGATTTTTTAAAGATTATTTTTTCAAAGGCTTCAATAGAGGCGTGGATTTTTTAAAGAATATTTTTTCAAAGGCTTCAACAGAGGCGTGGATTTTTTAAAGAATATTTTTTCAAAGGCTTCAACAGAGGCGTGGATTTTTTAAAGAATATTTTTTCAAAGGCTTCAACAGAGGCGTGGATTTTTTAAAGAATATTTTTTCAAAGGCTTCAACAGAGGCGTGGATTTTTTAAAGAATATTTTTTAAAGGAATATTTTTTCAAAGGCTTCAACAGAGGCGTGGATTTTTTAAAGAATATTTTTTCAAAGGCTTCAACAGAGGCGTGGATTTTTTAAAGAATATTTTTTCAAAGGCTTCAACAGAGGCGTGGATTTTTTAAAGAATATTTTTTCAAAGGCTTCAACAGAGGCGTGGATTTTTTAAAGAATATTTTTTCCAAAGGCAGATTTATATATTCAATATATACATATATCTCTCGATTTGCACGAAATTTGGCACAGCGTAATGTATTAGGTCTAGAATGATGTGTGTAAAGTTTCCTGAAAATCGGTTCAGATTTAGATATAGCTCCCATATATATTTGCCCCCGATTTAAAGTAAATGGTGCACCAAAGTCAATACAGATCTTTCTATTTGCACGAAATTTGAGATAGCGTAATGAATTAGGTCTAGAATGGTGTGCGTTAAGTTTCCTGAAAATCGGTTCAGATTTAGATATAGCTCCAATATATATATAAGTCAATATAGATCTTTCGATTTGCACGAAATTTAGCACAGCGTAATGAATTAGGTCTAGAATGATGTGTGTAAAGTTTCCTAAAAATCGGTTTAGATTTAGATATAGCTCCCATATATATTGTCGTCCGATTTAATGTAAATAGTGTACCCAAGTCCCTATAAATGCGGTAAATTACTGTTCAGCCAAAAAATATGCTTTAATTTTAGTATTTAATTACTTTCTTTGGATGCATTAAACACTGACGACTTCGTTAATTATTTTCTACTAAAAATATACAACAAATACTTCGGAGATTTTCTTAAATTCGGAATCTATTCTGTAATGAATTGTAAGCTGTCATATTAAGTCTACCCTAAGGCATAACTAAATAATAATGTACATAGCTTTGCTTTTTGTGTTTCTAGCAGGTATCTAAACCGATACATATATATCCGTATTACACCACACCCGGAAGAGCCAACAGCTATTTGTCAGTATCAAGAGAACTCTCATAGGCGTGGTCCACCAATGACATTATGAGGTCCAGCCATAGGCATAGATTAAAAAAAAATATTTTTTAGGCCCAGCCAAAGACGTAGATTAAAAAAAAAACGAGGTCCTGCCATTGGCGTATATTAAAAAAAATAGTTTTTGAGGTCCAATCATAGGCGTAGATTTTTAAAAAATATGTTTTGAGGT